AAAGACGGTTACAAAATCATCCTTCTATCAAATGAAAAACCTTTAAAGGACTAATGTCCCAGCAAAATCTAAACAAAAGCATCCATGTGTTTATCATTTGTCACACTGATAACTTCAACAGTGTCCTCACAGGTCTGCCAAAAATACCCCAAAGAATCTGCAGATGATCCAAAACGCTGCTGGTTCTGGTTCTGTACCCATTTCTATAAAAACTTTCATCATCTGACCCAACGTATCACATATGACAAAAAGAAATTGAGTAGGATGTTCAAAATTCACCCAGGAACCATGATGACTAAAGTCAGGGAATTTTAAGAAGTAGTTCAAAATCAAAGATTGACACAGAACGGAGGCGTACAGAAAGAGCAAACTACGGAGGAATTATACAAGGGACGAAGAAGATCACAAATTTCAAGCACAAGAACATTTGGACAGATGAGAGACTCTGGATAGCGCAAATGTACTAAACCTATTCCTCAACAGATTTAGTGCAGCAGGAAGAAGCTCAACATCCTCCTGTCCCCATCCAAACAGACATCCGACCCTCCTCTGACTCACAGCTGTCCTGTCAAACCTCGAATGTTCTGTCTTCCACCTCAGTCATGGACTCTTCTGGTTCCACAGGTTTGTCTTCAATCAAATCAGGAGATGATGCTGCTCCCTTTGCCTCCACCCAACATCTTTCTGTATCTAGAAATCAGATGAAGAGGCCATCGGAGAGACTGATCCGGATCAAGCCTGCATGTCAGCGCCAAAGTCCTATGCAACATCTCTTCAACCTTAATTTGACGCAAGCGAAGTTTTGGTTATTATGGAAGACTTCCTGCTGTTTCCATTAGCAAAGGAAACTCACCCATCACTGATTAATGACTACAAACGTGTTGCCCTGACATCCCACATTATGAAGGTCCTCTATGATTAGAGTTGAATCATACACCTGCTTCTACAATCCCACTGTCATCTGGACAAAGCAGGCAGCACCGCGAGGATCATGTTCTTTGATTTCTCCAGAGCATTTAACATAATTCAGCCTGATCTGCTTTGTGAGAAACTCCAGAAGACACTGATGGATTCCCCAACAATCACCTGGATCTATGACTACCTCACAAACACGCCAGTTTGTGAGACTGAAGGACACAGGAGCACCACAGGGCACTGCACTCTCACCACTCCTTTTCACAGATTGTAGATTTCAGGAGCAATAGGGTTAAATCAAATATCATTTCCATCATGAGAGAAGAAGAGGAGGTGGATGAATATTATAAATACCTTGGTGTTCATAGGGACAACAGTCTGGACTGGAGACTCAACAGTGACGTCATTTAAAAGAAGCAGCAGAACAGGCTGTACTTCTTAAGGAAGCTTAGGTCCTTCAGTATTTGCAGCAAGATGCAGCATATCTTCTACACGTCTGTGGTTGAGTGTCATTGGTTTTGCCGTCATCTGTTTGAGCAGCAGCATCACAGCCAGAGACTTAAATCAACAACCTGATAAAGAAGGCTGGTTCTGTTTTGGTTTTGTTCCAGGGATGACTGTGGAAACTCTAGAGATGAAGAAGCCGAGGATTTTATGTCAAAATGAAGAACATTACGAATAACCGCTTGCTTCATAACACTGTCATACAACAACAGAGGCCTCATCAAAACACCTGTGATACAGACTGCTACAGGAGAACGACTCTGTCCACAGCCACTGGAATCAATAATAACTCCTCTGAAGAAAATTATGCAACATGAGTTACAACATTTCATTTTTTTCTGGGATGAACAAATTATTTTTGAATTGAATTATTATAAACTGGAAGGTGGTTGAACAAAAATGATAGCATTCATCATTCATAATGAGTTTATGTAAAACCTAGCTGGCCTGAAAATGACAGGAAAAGCACAGCTAACTGCAGAGAAACAACACAAAATTGTGTTACATTACTAATTGGAGCAAAGTGAAGTTCACATTCAAAGATGAAGCGGAAAGAAAGAAAGAAAAAAAAACAAACAAGGAAATTGTTTTGGGGAAGCCAAACAGGCAACCTCAGTGAGTTCATTAGCTTATTAACTAATTAGCTTTCAAGCTATCGCAACAACCGCTAGCTATCTGTTTATGCTTTTAACTCCTCACACATGCGCCATTAGTTCAGTTAGTTAAAGAAGGGCTTTGACTTTACAAGCATCAGCTGGTTTCTGCAGATTTTCAGAATTAGGACGGCTCTCGTATTGAAATCCAGGTCAGTAAATGCAAAGCTACTGATCCGTTTGAGAAGCATTTAGCCTCGGATCGGGATTTGATCTTATTTTTCTTTTTCATCATTAAACCTCCATTTGAGACACAAATTAAGCTCTGACTCTCCACCATATGAAGATAAGCACATTGTGAACTTGCTTCAGATTTTATGAAGTGACGAAAACCGCAGTAAGTGCGGCCTCTAATTGTGCTAATTCTCCACCGCGCGGCACCGTTTTTCCCCCCCATTTCAAACGTCCCCAAAACAAAGACACCATAAATTGTTTCAGTCACAACATCAAGACTGTAATTTTGTTAGGAGAATCCACTCCCTCCTCTAACCTCTTTTTTATGGTATGGTATGAAAATGTGATTACTGTTTTAATCACATTGAGAAAAAAAAGGCATGTTAGTACAATTTCAAGTTTGTTAGAAGAACTGATGCAGTTAAGTGAGATTGATAGAATTACTTTGTTCTGCAGTTTTTAGGATTTTCCAGAATTTCAAATGCAGGTTTTCTTCATGTTCAAGCTCTTAAAGCCATAATGTGTAGTGACACTACACATTACAAATATTTGTATTTATTTTTTTTACATATTTGTTGAAACTGTCAGTATGTTGTGACAGTTTGGTATGAGACAGAAAGTCTGTGAAAAGACAGCTTTTCTGTCTTTGCCCAGCGCTAACTAGAAACAACCAATCAGAGTCAAAGGGCGTGTCTTTACGCTGCCAATCATCCTTAGTGTGTTGCTGTTCACCCACCCGTCTTCCCCTACTTTCTGCTCTGCTGCAACTAGCAGAGTTGTTTCTCAACCATTAGCCCATTTAGCAGTAAGTATATGAGGGTGACTGACAGCGCTAAGACCCACCTCCTGGCTCTCATTGGTTTGTTTTGGTCAGGAGCGGTGCATTTCTTCAGATGGCAACAGTCGCTCAGGGAGGAGATGGAAAAGATAATATATCTCAAAACATGCTGACACAACATGGTGACAGTTTGAACAAATATGGAAAACACTATTTTTATCAACATTACATACTATTTTACAACATTAATTAACACCCATGTTTTGAACAGAGATTCGGTGTTGGGGGTGACAAGTAGGAGGGAAACTAAGACATCTCTCTACCCAGTTACTCTGATTCATCCCAAGATGTCCCAAACCAGAAGAAATACACTTTTCCAGAGTCTTCCCCTGGCAGAAAAACCTTCAGGGCAAGGTGTCCTACTCAAACACCCAAACCAACCAAACCTTTTCAGAGCAGCACCAAATAAGTCACGTCCTTCTGCACAGGCACGAACTGTTCATCTAGTCAGTCAGTGGGTTGTAGTCGTAGGGTGTAAACGATTTTACGTCTCAATAGTCTGGTCCAATCTCCAAATATTGCCACCCCTGATTATGAGACTACATAAGATGGAAAAATCTCTTTGAAGATGAGCCTCCCTCAGAGTAGCATTGCACCCGGATTTTTTCTGCCCTCCGATACTGAGATGCCAGGAAGAATCAAACAGAACACTTGTTGACCTAGCCGTGACACGACTCAAGGGCCACCAGAGAGTGCCTTAATAAGTATTCTTAAACACGGAGGGGGATTAGCCAGATGGCCAGATCACTCTTTTCTCCAACCTCTCCCCATCAGTAGATTTCCAGTGTTTCCCGACCCTGCTGAAACCGTCGGGATTGGCTTCATTTAGGCTAGTGTTACCGACAGCACTATTTGACTCCAGATATAATCTTTATTGCTTACAGAGAGAAAGTCCATTAAAAGGCTAACTGTAGGGTCCCAGTGCTGAAAGGTTCCTGGAGTGATGCCTGCGAGAGCCTTTAAAAAAAAAAAAAAAAAAGGACCCCTTTCTTCACTAAAGTGAAAGCAGCTATTGAGGGCGCTCAGAGGAGAACACTGCTCAAAGTGGCGCTCTACATTCGCTGTGAGACAAATCAGAAGCGTTTAGTATGAGACAGCGGTGGTAGTGGTGGGAGGGGGAAAGAAACTGCAGAGGACATGCAGGGGTGTAATAAAGTTTTGTTAAATGGACTACAAATTGTTCACTGTAGCAGGAGACTTCACTGACTTCCATTTCATGGAGTTCATGTGTTTGTGTTAGAAAAGGCCCATGGGCTAAACAAAACATGTCCATTACATTTTTGCACAAAATGATTCTTTGATAATGAAATTTTAGTCTGCTCTACTTTGAGGTCTTTTCCAAATGACGTTTCAGGATTCATTCAGGGCTTCAGCTTCTCAACGTTTACACTCGCACGTCAAAACTGTGCGTCCGTACACCTTCGAAAAGCAGAAGTGGAGCCTCATGCACAACAAACAAAAATACAGTAAGTGATTTCTAATGGGTAAGTCAACAACAACAAAAACACTTGTCTTTTCTAGCAGAAAAAAAGCGCAAAAACAAATCCATCCCCTTCAAGAAGGTAAGTGAGAAAAGGTCCAAAAAAAGTCAAGAGTAAAGACAGACATTGAGTCGATAGTCATCAATTTCCGCGACTCCATTTGTAAAACATATCTTCCATTACGTTAAGAACAAGCTGTGCTCTTCACATGGAACATCAGTCTTGAGAAAGTTAGTGACTATGCCAGAAAAGATTCTAAACACACACACACACACACAGAGACACAAAAGCAGCACTAAAAAAGTCTGACTTGAAAGATCATAGCCAAAATCATTTGGAAATTCAAAGCTTATCCAAAGTGGCAAACAGTGGCACAGAAAAGCTGGGAAGGAAGATAGACAGAGGAAACAATTTGGGGAGGCGAAGGGAACTTACACAGATAGGAGACTTTCAGCTCCAACACCCTCGTCTCACTTGTGGTCGACTTTAAAATGCATGAACGTTGCCTGGAAAACAGAGAAAACTGCATTTTAACGCAGTGACTCAAGCGTCACACATGAAAATGTCTGTCCTTTGTCATCACAGAGTTCCCTCGCAGGGTCCGCATTCACCCAAACGATGACGAAGGAAAGCCATGAGATTGTACACACTGGCCATTATTTCACACCGGTGAGTTACGATAAATTCTACAAACTCGAAGTGGAAAAATTTTCAGCCCACCTGAGAGGCCTTTGCGGCTGACGGACAAGACCGAACAGAGGACCAGTGTGAAGTTCACGGCACAGCAAACAGAGGATCAGTGTGTTTCCTTCACATCGCTTTCACCGAACAAACAGCATCACATACTCTCAAACCACGCAAGGTCGAACAAACAACGGGATTTTTGTACGCCGCTTTGAAGTTGTAAAAAATTGCCCGCAATCCTTCTTAACGCAATAAGCGATGCCTGGTGTTTACCTTTAAGAACCAATTCCAGTGAAAGTAAGTTAAATTAAAAAAAGAACGAAAAAAAGGTCTCTGATCGTTCAGACAGCTTTCTGTTCTTCAGCGGCCCGGCCTGGACAAACCACTTTGACTGGGTGGTTTGACCTGGCGTCGGCCTCAATTTGGCCTCGCACGCCCCGCGCGCTCACGCCGCAAGCCGGCGTTGCTGAAGCAGGAGGTCACCGAAAACAAACAACATCAAAGAGGTCAAATCAGCCAGCACAGCCAGCAAGGTTCTTTGAAGGCACCACGACACGGAACGGGCGGCCGCAGCAGAGCAGAGTGGCCCCAAATTGAAGAAGGGTGGAAGATAGCCTTAATTGATAGTGGAAGGTCAGTAATTTAAGAAATGCAGAGGTGAACAAGATAAAGAGGAACTTCATGGAGTGGAAAAAAGGAAGCAATACTTGCTCCAACAAAACTTGGCATCATGACGGCTCCTGAATGCGGCATCTAAGTTGTGCAAAAAGTGCAATACAAACAGGCCTTTGATTCCAAAATTTGAGGCTAATTGAGAACAATAAAGAAAAAAGCAAACTCTGGGCATGTATGATCTTTTATTCATGTCCGCAGTCGACCAAATGATTTTCTCTTGCATTTTTCTTTCTCTTAGGGCACTATTAAGCGCACACAAAGAAGTGCAGATAATAATGATAAATCATCTGCAAACCCCCCCCAAAAAAACATAGTTTAATATATACACAAGTCTGCAACACACAAGCTTAAGACGCAGCTCCTTTTCATTTTTGTCCGACTGAATTCAAGGATTCAAAAGACTCTTGCAATCGGCTGACTTTGGGACGGATTTGCCAGATCCCAGTTCACACTCCGCAGCACCCGCTGACCCGTCTGAACACGTTTCACACGACTGCTGAACCAGTTCTTCTCTTTCCCCTCCATTTCTCGCTTGCTCATCTGCAGCTAGCAGGTCCAACACCTGGGGAATGCTGGGTGATCAGAGAGACAGCTGGCTGCCTTATTGTGGAGAGGTGCCTCAAAACATACATACCTGTTTAATTTGCATATTCAATGGAAGCTTGTGTAAGAGCCAAACCTTTTGAGCATTTAAGTAGAAACGGATCCATAAAAACTCTCAGTACTTGGATACGAGCTGCAGGTAAGGAGAAGTAACAGAGGGGGTTTAAGTTGGAGGGTTTTTGACTTTATGTTGGGATGTGCATGAAAAATGGATGAAGGTTTCAGTGGTGTTTTCACACCTGAGAGTCTGGTAGATTTGGTTAGGATGGGGACCAAAGTGGCAACATTTGTTATATTTTACATTGGTACGGTTCGGTTTCACACTGCACCATGTCAATCGAACCAAAAACCTTTGAGCAAACTGTTCTCCTCCACGCCTTTGGTGGCGCTGCACCAATAGTCACTGAAGGAAATGACACGAAAAACCTCAGCAGAAAACACTGAATGCAACTTCCTTCTTTGCAAAATGTATTAGTTGTGTTTACAACTAATACATTTTTAAAGGTTTTCTGTTTTAGTTGTGTTTACCCAGAATTCCCAGTCCACTTCCTGGTTTCGGAGCACTCTGCGGTACTCTCGGCTTTCACATGTGCATTTGAGAGTTCACTTTGACCACTTGTATCCTTGAAGGCATAACCTGATAAACTTTAAATGACTTCATAACAGGAGGCTTAAAGTAAACTTTTTATAGCCTGGTTTGTTTGGGGAGGTGTGAATGCAGACATGAACTCTGATGCGGACCAAAAAAGTGAACTCTGGTCCACCTATAAACCTATGTCTAGCACTCATCCATGTGCAATAATAGTGTATTAAGTATACACTTTCGGTTTAGATTTTAGCTTACCAAAGTATATTTAAAGTGTCCCCCAAGTATTTTCCTGATGAAAGGAATTAGAACCTGATTAATAAAGTCAAATGTTTCCATGTTTCTGGTGTGTTGAGGTAATGAAACTCAGCACACATTTTAAACTCCAGAAGCAATCTCGAACATGCAAGTTTACAACAGATAATATATCAAAACAAATGCATGAAGTGAAAAACTTACTCTGTCGTAGTAAATGTAGGATAAGTCAATGATTTAACCTCATTTTGTTCTGGGATCAAGATAGTATACTATTCTTAAACTTATCAAGTATAGTTTATAAAAACTTAATATCAAGTAAACTTCCTCATTTTAAGCATAAAATAAGGATGCTTGTAGTACTCTAGAATGAATTGCTTTTTGCTAAGGGTGGATAAAACCTGGTAACAATGCAGAACAGAGAATCGTCTTTCAGAAAGGTCACGATGTGACATGGTGGGATCACAGGTGGTACAGGTGAGGTGACGATGAGCCGGTGTTTGTTCACAGCGGGGTCTGCACCCAAACAATGAATGCACGCACTGAAACAACCAAATATGCATAGCCCCAAATGTCATCCTGTTGGAGCTGTCAGTGCCACTTGTGCAGATGGAGACACTCTGGGGTAAGAACAATGGAACTCTATCAGACAGAGGCCATCTCAATAAGCGCGCCGCAGCATGCGGCTCGGCGCTGCCACGTTCAACGTTTCCAAATAATCATATGGCCAATTAAACCAGAATGAGCTTCACTTGACCCATAAATGATGAGCTTATAGCACGTGCCGTCTCTCAGATGGCTGCTGGTAACGTCAAACATCAGATATTATTATTTAGCTCAGTTTGTTTTTCTTTTTCTCTTTCTGTCTCTCTCTCTCTCTGAGGGGGCCGTAAGCAAGCAACACACTTCCAATAAACGGTTACACATTTCACACCATGAAACTGTCTTTTATTGCACAGGCTTCTGATTTTTTTTTCTTTTTTCTTTTTTTTAACCAAACCTCATACCCCGCCAACTTTGAAGACATTAGTGTTTCGCAAAAATGAGTTTCTAAAATGTGTTATTTTCCAACAGAGACATTTCGGAGACAATTTGCGCTGGACATCTATCAGTTTGATTTCTTGTTTGTTTCAGTTCTTGAAGAGTAACAACCTAAATGACAAGGGCATATTGGTAAAGAAATAGCTCATAAACTTGTTTTAAGAGAGCCCGGAGGAAAAAAAAATTATTTACTGTGGTTCTGTACCAACAAATCAAACCCAATCTTTCCACCAATAAACTTTATACTTCTGTCAATTCACCAGAAATTCAAACTGGGAGTGGCGACCACAAGGATTTTTAACGCTATCGGAGGCTTTTTTTTTTGGATTGGGTGTTGGGTACTGTTGGTCAACTTTTTGCTGCTGATAGGGGGCAAAAAGTCCAGATACAACCACTACACACCCTTATAGGTCACATTAGGGCATAAAATTGGATTCTGACACCTGTTGAAGACTTTGTTTACTGCCGCTTATTTAAAAAATCTGAACACGGACCAAAGAGTGCAGGAATGTAGGAGCAAATTTGCTTCCTGGCACAGCAATCTCGAAGTTATAAGCAGATTTAACAAGTAAGAATGAGGAAATGTTAATACAGTGTTTTGTTTTTTGTTTACTTCCCCTTGGTCAGTTCTGTTAACTAGCTGGACATGCTAGCTAGTGTAGCTAAAAGCTGAGCTAAGCATATTTTAATTAATTTAATTTTAATGTTATCAGTCTTGAAATTTTTTGTTTGTGTATTTCTGGCCCACTCATAAATCTGACACACAAGCAACGTCCACAAACAGCGATGGAGCCGGGGTTTTGATCTTGTTTCAAATCACAATCTCCTGGCAGATTGGAAAACACTGTAGCTGTGAAAAGGAGAAGCCTAAAATAGCACCTTAATGCTAAATGTATTGCACCAAAAAGAGAGAACCAATGTCAGCCTCCACAGTCCACGTTTATAAAACTGTTTTGTTTTTTTCAAAGACGTTGCATGACGAGATGTGATATAAAACACAGAAAAACCTCATTTAAACCTACAGCTGTCAATATGTTATACGAGCACAGCAGCCATGTTGGTGACCCAACTCGCTGCTCTCCAACTTTCCACGTCATAATTTCAGCTTTAGCTGAACAAAGAACTCATCATAACGTCCGATCACGTAGACAAACAGTGGCTCTCCTGCCAACTTCTCCTAGCAGAAGTTAAAAATGAAAACTTTGAAACTGCTCGATGTCTAAATCTCGGTTTGGCAAAACAATCTGACTCTCATTCCGGCTCCACGGCACAACTGAAAACGTGAAGTTTTAGTTCTCAGTGAGTTCCTTTCTTGTCAGATGACTGCTAAGCTACATCAGTCGACATATGTGTTCACGAAAAGTGCATTTAATGTCCCATTTGAGGGATGCTCATAATACAACAGTAAAAAAAAAAAAAAGATTACCATCTCAAGTTTTTATTTAAATTCACTTTTTAAGCTTTCCAATTGTTTTATGGTCAAGAAATGACTCAGACGATAATATCTCCTGATTACATCCAATGAAGAAAAGACCTTGTTGAAGGTATGAAAGAGGTTTGTTCAAACTGCTATAGAAACAGAGGGATCAGACGAGCGGGAGATTGAATGAATGAAACACTTTTACGTTCCCTTCGCAAACAACCGGGGTGGGGGGGGAGTAG